GTATTTTTATACAATAGAGTACTACTCATCTATAAAGAAGGATAAACTTGAGACTTTTATAGGTAAATGGATGCAACTTGAGAACATACTCATAAGTGAAATAACTCAGTCTCTCATGTGTAAATATCATATTGTCTCCCTAGTGTAAGAAGCTGAAAGAGTAAATAAGAGCCAAATGTACAATAGATATTGTGAAGTGGAAAAAAGCTACTCAAAAGGAAAGAGAAAGTGGCATATGGGAAGGAGAAAAAAGGGAAGGGAAAAGGATATATATATATATATATATAATATGATGGTTAAGATAGTTATCTTACTAATTGCTATTAGTTCATTGAAAAGAAAGGTTTATGCCTATATTGTTTAATCAATTTCTCATGCCTATATCTTGTAATATGAGCAACTACTTTAAAGATAATATGCATTGTTACTCTCCTACAATCTTGTTTTGAAATTTTGTACTATCGGTTTTATTGTTTATTCTTTTCTTTCAAATAAAATTTTTTTTAAAAAAGAGTAACTTTTAGCAGACATGCTGCCCTCAGACCTACAATCCCAGCTCTCAGGAAGCTGAGGCCAGAGGATCGCTGTGAGTTCAAGGCCCTCACGAGATACACACTGAGTTCAAGGCCAGCCTGCACTACAAAGTAAAACCCTGTCTCAACAAATAAATAAAAAACTCATGCTGCAAATTAGCCTTTTTTGTCCTCCACTGTAAACTGCAATGGTCACTACCACTAACATGAACTTGGAGCTTAAGAAAAACAACTTTGGAAGATGGTCATGTAACTTGGAAACAGGAAAGGTCCTAAGGAACACACTCAAAAAAAAAAAAAAAAAAAAAGCCACCACTTAATCTCTGAGTTCGCACACAGTATCTCAAACAGTATGAGTTTGTCAAGACATGAACACTGAGAAGGAATGCTCGGGAGAAATTCCTTTGGGCCCCATACTTCCCTATAATAAATTCTGCCTGGCTTGACCATAAAAGAACTCAGGAGGTGCCTGGGGATGCAGTTCAGTGGCAGACCACATGCTCAGCATGCATCAGGCCATAGGTTCATTCTCCAGCACGACCAAAAAGCAAATAAAGTAACTCGGGAGGGAAGTCTAGAACCTCTGCGCAAGGCCCAGGCTGCCCCGAAAGAATCCTCAAATATTGAGACCCCCGCAGAAGAAGCGATTCGAGGTGAGAGTGCATCGCCAGCTTTCTGTGCCCTGAATCACACACTAAGGTACACAGACTTGCCATCAGGTGTTTTCACAGTATCCCTGCCTCACCCTCTGTCATGTCTCAATTCATTTCTAAAAATTAGGAAAGATCACCATCTACCAATCACCTCCCGATCCAACTCAGTCCCAAAGACAGGCTCTTTTCACAACTGCCAGATGAGGACACTACCCCAAGGAAACCTCGAAAAGAACAGTCTTCGGGCCAAAGCACGTACACATGGTAACGCTCACAGGGGTTTGCCTCAGCATCTCCCAGCCAAGACTTCAATGAACCCATTACCACACCAGGGTGTTAGCTTAGGAACAATTCAGGGAACTTGCAAATACCCTAAGAGAAGAAAGGAAGGAAAGTATTTCCTCTCCTTAGGCAGAAAACATCCTCCCCCACGCACACTTCTCACAAGACAACCAACCAAGCCCTCCCCTTCGCTGCCAACTCCTCTCTGGTGGCTTTCAGGCCAGACCCTGCTCCAGGGTCCTGCACAGAACCTCCTCAGATGTCTCTCCCACCAGAAAGCAAACTCCTTGAAAGCAGAAACCCTGTCTGTCCTACCTGGCCGTGGGGCTTGGCAAAATCCTTTGCAGACTCAATTACAACTAATGAATTGCAGCATTTGTTGCCAAAATCCCACTTACAGTAATTTTCCAGATCTCCCTCTTCCCTGCAACAACATCTGGACCCACTCAAGGCTTATTCTGGAGCAGAAATCCTGAATCCCACTGTGGGGAAGCCAGTCTCCCCAGAAAATGAAACGGTAGTGCCCATGACATCCTCTGCCTAGGGCTTCGAGGGAAATAGTAAAAGCAAACCGTGTATCATTGAAGTCACTGACAACATGCCAAACCCACATTAAACTATTGTTGTTGTTGTTTTTTATAAAATCTCAGAACATCATTCACCTGCACGTACAGCCGACATCTGTGGATAAAGTTAAATGCATGCAAATCAAAACGATTTAAATGTCTTTAAAAGCTACTGGGAGTATTACACCAAATAATCTTCCCTTGCCTGTTGGCTCGATGCAAGTTTGTTCTTTCTCTCTCCTTCTCTCTCTCTCTCCCTCCCCTTTCCCTCCCTTTCTCTTTCTTTCTCCCTTCCTTCCTTCCTTTCTCTCTTTCTCTTTCTCTCTCTCTCTCTTTCTTTCTTTCTTTTCTGACAGGGAAACGTGATCGTCCCTGAAGACAGAACTGGCTCAGCACAGTTAAACCAGCACCTTAGGTCCTCTCTAATGCTTTCCTTCCTTTGATCCCGAAGCAAGCCCGAGTCCTCAGGCTTTCCTAGCAAGTCGTAGGCGTGCAAAGCACACGCGTGAATCAACACCCTCCAAACTTTAACCCAAAAGTTGACCCTGGGGATCCCCAACAAACACAAAGAAAGCGCGCAAAAGAAAACAGTGACGGGAACCCGAGACTGACGTCGCAAACTCAAGTGGCCCCAGGGATCCGGGGCACAGAGCAGCGACAAAGCGAAAGGAGCCCGAGCAGCCGCTGCTCCCCGCGCCACCCGCCGCCCGCCGGGCCCGCGCTCACCGCGGCGCTGCTTCCTTCCATCTCCCATCCCCGCGCGGCCCCGCGCCGACCGCCGGCCCCCTCGCTCACCAGATGGCCATCCTGCTCTTGGGGTAGTCCAGGCGCTCCAGGCAGCCGAGGAAGTGAGGCAGCGCGTGCGCGGCGTTGCGGGCGAGGACGGCCACTAGCACCGTGGGTCTCTGCAGGGGGGACTCCGGGAAAACCACCTCCCCGAGCTTTGAGTCCGGCTCGGCGGCCAAGCGCTCCGGGCAGCAGCCGCGGAGCAGGGCCGAGGGCAGGAGCAGCAGCGACCAGGCGAGGGTGGCGGCGGGGCGCGCAGCCATGTTCGGCCGGGGCGCGCGGCGGGGAGGTTTTGCAGCCAGCGGGGGGCCGAGGCCGGCGGGGAGGGCCGCGGCGGCTCCGGGAGAGCGGGGCGGCTGCCAAGGGATGCGGCTGGCCCGGCCGGCCGCGCGCGCACGCTGGCACCGGACCTGCAGCGCCGGGACCTTCACGCCGCCGCCGCGCCGCCCAGGGCCTGACGCCGCGCGCACCGCGTACCTGCCGCCGTCTGTGCTCCTCCGAGGCTCGGGTTCGCAGACAGCCCTGGCCGAGCGGCTGTTTGTGTGGAGCCCTGCGGAAAGTTCCTCTAGCCCAGGCTGAGCTGGTACAGCTGAGGTCTGTGGCTTCCCCCCAGAGCTTCGAGGTGTGGCCGCGTCTGCCAATGCGTGTGTATGTGTGTGTGTGTGTGTGTGTGTGTGTGTGTGTGTACACAGAACGGTACAACCCTAAGAAAATTTATTCTGCTTTTGCAAACCGCAGTCTGAGGTCCTTCACAGTGATGCAATGAGTCCAATTTTTCATAATGCACCCATTGACAAGTAAGTAGAATTCTAAAATGGAAAGCCACTCCAACTATTTATGACTACAATAAACAATTTTTTAGCTACCACAAAGGCAGAACGTTTGTATTTCCTTAGATATTCAGCTTCTCCTACTATTCATTCCTGACTGACTAAACGCTCAGTAGCACCAAATTTGAAGACTTGGACAGTTTTAAAGTCAGATCAGACCCCGAGAATAAACAAGCTGCTTATGGATACTGTGCCGAAGCCGCTCCAAGTTAGGCTGGTTGTAAATGAGGAGATTCACTTAAGATGGTTTTCTTTTTACTTAATGACCCAGATTAACAGAGAGTAACAAAGAAATGGAAAGTTCATACACTTTGGATTGTAGATGAGAAGTAAAGAGAAGAAAAGGGTGCAGGAAGAACGCCGTTAGCAGGTACAAGGAAATTGCCAGGACACACACGTAGAGGACGCAGAAGGAGTAACGGAGGGTGACATCCCCGCTTTGTGAGACTGTGTGGGCTTTGATCTCTAAGTGTGCAGGGTGATTTGATGCAACTGCGCACTCCTCCCTGACCACCAGTCCCAGTCCAGCTTCAGCCGTGTGCCACAGTCTTTTCGCTAGTTGTGTCAGAACTTCTCTGCAACTCTTGGAAGCCTTCCCCCTCTCCTTTGACCCTCCTCCTCCCTCAGAAGACCATTGTCTCTACCCAGCAGCTCTACAGCCCACTGCTTAGTTGCAGATGTGTGTTCACTACAGGGTCTTTGATCCCCTCCACTCCCCTTTCAGCTCTGGATTTTTCTCCACCATTACTCTCCACCAAGTCTTCAGCTGATCCTTTTCCATCCACTCCTTTCAATCTAAAACGCTAGTTAGTTCTCTCTCATCCACGGAGAAGCTTCTTTAAAAACACGTTGTGTCCTTCTAGTGATCCTGGGCCGAACTGCTTGAGGGGTCTACACTTCCTTTCCCAGTTAACTGCCATCTCTCCCACCACTGTGCAGTGTGGCTTCTATGCTCTCCTCTGAGGCTGTTCTGGCAAACCGCAGAGATGACTTCAGTACTGGTGAATTCAGTGGACTTGCTCTAGTTCTTGTCTTCTCTGTTACATAACCTCTCCTTGATTTCCTCTGGTCCTACTTGTTCTGCAAGCCCCTTTCCTGAACAACACTTTTACCATTTGCTACTCTTCTGGTCCTTATGGCTTCCTAGGATAATTTTATCCTGCCAATCTATGTTTCCTGTCCTATCCTCTTCATCCATATTCATACTTTTATATCTTACAGCCAGAGATATTTCTCTCCTCTACACCCACTTGGAGGATTCATCCCTGCCTGCTCTCAAGGGGCTCACAGTCTTGCCAAGGATGCTGAGTTAAACATCTGTTAGAAGAACCATGGCTAATGTGCAAACAGCTACAGCAGAGAGGAGAGGAAGGCATGGTCACTTCTATGAAAGTAGTGCTGATTCAGGGGCTATTATATAAGGGGCTATTTATATTATTATTATATAATTATATAATAATTATTATATTAAGGGGCTATTTATTATATTATTATATAAAAACAAACCTGTATTGTTCTGTAGTTTTGTTGTTGTTTTTCCTTCTTTGGCTTGTGTCCTACTCAACTTTCAAGACTAAGATCCCCACACTTTAGGACTAGGAAAAAACAAAGATTTAAAATTCATCATTTCTTCACTTTCCTGCAAACAGAGAGTTTAGAGCTAAGAACCCATATTTATATCTGACTTTTCTTCTGATACCTTAAATCAACAGCTGATTGAGCTCATTTTTTTCAAGGAATGAAGAACCACCTAAAACTGGGCTCTGTATGGCCTTTAATGCCATCAAAATGGAGTTGGCTCTACAAAGTTCTGAAGAAAATCACAGCAAAAGGTTTCCCACCCATGCAACTTGCAAAATACCTGCTTAAAACCTCTAATCAATACAGAAACTTAATTTAGTCGCCAAGAATCTTGAAGTCATGACAGGATATATAGCAATTAGAAATCACTTTGGGTGTAGGAGCAGGAGTGGGCATGGGAAGGGAGGAAAGACAGTTGGGTCCTCATCTTACTCACAGGCTTGCCCCATAAATTCTGTAGAAATCAACGATGTGGAGTTTGGGTTTTCTCCCTCATGGAATCAGTGTTACAGTACAGTTATGTCGAGGACCTGGCCAAGATCCCCAACTGCCTGTATGAGGGTTAAGGTGAAGGATGAAATAAGACAAATTTAGTAATGCAAAACAAGGGGCTGGGAGATCAGTGTCTCAGGATGGGCAAAAGCAATGACTCTCCAACCTTGCCACTATTTATTGAGCATATACGTACATTTTTAGAGGGGGAAGTGTACTTTGTCCTGGAACATGGTGGTGATTGCAGTGGGCCAGTAAAAAAGAACAAAGCATTCTTGCAAGGATGAGACAAGGGCCAATAAGGCAACTGCAGTTTCCCCAGGCGAAACTTGTACTGCTGCTACTACATTGCTTTAAAGATGCCTGTTGTCCTCAGCAGGTCTTATCTTGTCCTGTGGGTGGCACAGAGTCACTAGCCGTAGGGCTTCAGCCTGTGACCCGGAGAAAGTGGGAAGTTTCCGCGTTCCAGCTTACAGGGACTGAATGTATAATTTGTGATCCCTAACACAGTTAAGCTGTAAAAACAAATTTAAAAACAAAAGCCACTTGTAATTTTTAAAATATCTATTGCGGATAATGCTCTTCCCATGAAAAAACCGGTTGAATGGAAAATCAGGGCTGTGTACACACGTCTGTTGTCTCCACTGCTGCTGAGTTTTCCCAGTCGTTCCCACACAAATTTGGAAATAAGCACCTTCTCCCCAAGAGATTCCAGCTCAGGAGGCTTCCTTTGGGACAACAAAACCCCTTTTACTTTCCCTTTTAGTACAGCTGTGGCCGGAGCAGGGCCTCTATGGTGCCTTCTTGCAGGAAAACGTCCTAAGGTTTCTGTGGTTCCAGAAGCCAAGGAGAGGCAGAAATAAATGTCTTTGCAGCTGTGACAGCGAGAATAAAATGGATGCTTAGAGTTGGAGCTGAATTAATTTCCATGTCATCTGTCACTCTCTTTCTGTGTGACCTGGGGGAATGGACCTCTCTGAACGTGAATTTCCTCCTATTAAATAAAAAGTAAAAGTTTGTCTCATATTTTCATTAAACAAACTTTTATGAAATTACTAATTGCCAATCACTTGGGTGTTAAATACTTGAATCTTCCCCTGAGAAAGAGTATAGCCTTACTAGGCCTCATGGCTGTCTAGATTTGCTTCTTTTGTACTAAAATTTCATTCCTTCACTACCCAGATGGACTTACTCCCTTATCTTATCCAGCCTAAAATTTTACAATGTAAAATTTACTTGAATTGATAAGCATGCCAATTTCAATGTGAAAATGGTTGAGAAGGGGCTATTAGGCAGTATTTTCTGTCCCTCTTATATTTGGAGATCCAATTTAAATTGGATCTCCTAATCTCAGCACTTCCACTGAGACAGGTTATCAGCGCTGAAGAAAACTGACAGAATGGGGCCTCATTTGGAGCATGGATGACATGCTCAGAGTCCTCATGCCCACAAATCAGAAACCCATCATAGATGTCCTTCGTCTATGATGACAAAGTCCTATGGATTTCTGATTTGTGGGCATGAGGACTCTGAGCCTAGGAAGAAACAGAACATGAGAAGGAGGAGCAGTAAGTTAGTTGCCAAGAGCTAAAGTCAAACCATCTCACTTTCAAAGTGTTGTCTATAAAAATGAGTCTGAATTCCATATAAATGCAACACAGGAGAAAGGCAAGAAACAGAATGGCATCCTTGAAAACTGGCAAGTAGCAGGGAGCAGAGAGTAAGATGCGGAGAGAAAGAAAGCTGGGGAAATATGTGATCTTGCCTCTCTCCCTTTCTCTCTCTCTCTCTTTCTTTCTTTCTTTCTTTCTTTCTTTCTTTCTTTCTTTCTTTCTTTCTTTCTCTTTCTTCCTTCCTTCTTTCCTTTCTCTCCCCTCCCTTCCTCCCTTCTTTCCTTCTTTCCTTCTTCTTTTCCTCTCTTCCTCCCTTCCTAGGGATCATACCCACCGCCTTGCACATCTAGGCAAACACTTTACCATTCCCCAGGTCTATATAATTATATGTTTAAAATAGGCAAAGGCACCTGGGCACAGTGGTTTACACCTGAAATCCAGCACTCTGGGAGGCTGGGGTAGGAGGATCACAAGTTTGAGTCCAGCCTTCGCAGCTTAGTGGCTTAGTGAGACTCTGATGTGTTTTATATCTAGCCATCCCTCTCAGGTCCCCGTGATCCTAGGAGGACCTTTGGAAGGTGATTGGATTATGAGGCTTATACCTGACTTGCTTGTAGGAGGTGAGGCTTGGTTGGGAGAGGTGGGCCACTATGTGTGTGACCCAGACAGTTATATCTCCCTTGTACATCTCCTTTCCTGGTTCCTCCCTTGGCTCTGCTTTCTGTGCACTATGCCATGAGTGGTTCTTGGGCATGCTCCTCTTTCATGCTGTCTTTCTGTAGAGCCAGCTGACCATGGAAGGACTGAGAAACGTGAGGCCAAAATAAACCTCTCCTCCTCTGAATTGCTGGTGTCGGGGATTGTATCTCAGCCACAAGAAAGTGACAAGGACATTATTTCAAGATAGAAAAAAAAAAGAGCTGTAGCTCATTGTGAAGGCCCAGCACTGAACTCTTGTGTGCAGTGGTGGTGGTGGTAGTGGGGAAGCAAAGTACTTGGACTGATGTTTCTCCAAAGGAGATATACAAAAGCTGTAAGTACAAGAAACGTTTCTCAATATCACTAATTTTTAGGGAAATGCAAGTAAAAATACAGTGAGATAACACTTCACATGCCTCAGGATGGCTCC